TGTGACTTTAACAGACTGGGTATGTTGTAGGGTTAGAATAAGGACACTATACGATCATATTCAGGGGGATGCATCAGGGACTTCATGACACTGTTTATTTCCTTGGATGCATTTGAAAAACAGAAACTTCACACTTATTTATTTTCTAGGGAAGCAAACAGTACTTGTGTTTCACAGTGTTATTGTGACGTCACGGACTATTTTCCGATATGTGGGTCGGACGGCCGGAACTTCTTTTCTCCATGTCAAGCTGGATGTACTGGTAGAGAAAACATGGTACGTTTACCTGAAATATACGTTTTATCTTAATAACATTACACATACATTGAACGATATAGAAATGTCGAAATAGATATTGAACAATATGGAAAGATACGAATTTAAAGAGTTATCTAACGATGACCATATGGGGATTCACAGATTCAGAAATGTTTGGCATACCTAATCTATTTCCAAATTTCATATGTGCAATCGCGTGTGTATGTCTTACTTCCACTTTTCAATGTTACAAAATGGCAGAGTGCGTGGTTCCCAAGGTTTACCGTGATCTGTGGATAACCCACGTTATTCTCTTTTGGGTAGTGGCATGGTTCATACTCGGTTTTTATTTTGAAATATAACCAGTCCTTCTCTTGCATTTGTGATTTATAAAGTTGCAGCTGTTTCCTTAACCTAATTGTAAAGGGGTAATCACCTGTGTGTGCCTTGCGTTCATCTTGCACGCGACAAGTATTTGAACCTATGACCTGAATTACAATAAAGTTTTAATAAAAACGCCTCGTTAATCGTTCGTTATTTTTTCCTCCATCAATGCTTATTATCTGCCATGCTTTGTTAGCTTTTCGAAGATTTACCTCTTGAGTCACATATTCCGCCATGGTGAAAAGGATAAGGATAGCAGAAAAATCTTTTTTCAATAATTCATGCTTTATTTTAGCGTTACATGATAAATCCAGCAAGATCAGATTCGCGGTGTAATGGATGAGGAAAAATACCTTCACATATTTAAACCAACCCTTCTTTGAAAAGAATAGTTGAAGTGCTACGTTGCATAAAAGTACTTTTACTTACTTGAAACATCTCTTCTTTGAGAGAAAGAAATGAACTGCTGTTATCCAGACAGGTACCTTTCCTTACTTGAACCAACTCCTCTTTGACAGTAAAACAGCTTTTATGCAGTAGATATATTCACTAATTTAACACGACTCTACTTTGAAAGGAAGGTATCTTCACTTATTTAAGCAGGAAGAGCTTAATTGATTTAACTCGAAAAGCAGATTTGAAGACGATTTTATTTAAAAAGCGAATAAGGTTTTGGTACCTGTCAATTGTGATTTCAATGTCTTCCTATAGCTTTACACTAACTGCACATGTGCCGGATATGACACAACAGCCCGCTCTGGCCTGTGTCCTACCAGTTTTACAATGGTAACGATTGGCTCCTTCGTGTGCACACTTGGTATGATGCCATCTTTTATCTTCACAATCAGGTAATTACTTGAATCATTTAAAAATAATAATTTAGTTTTCGTTTAAGGAGAGAGATTTTCTACATATCTTTCTCTGGTTCACTACCTCGGTAAAAATTACATAGCAAAGGAATGTGCACTTTGATATTCATCAACATCAGATTCGAACCAGGACAACAATGACTAACGGAAAATGTAAAGTTTGTTATGTAATAAGGACTCATAAAGTTCCATCAATATGACTCCTTTTTTACTACGTCTTTTTCCTCTTACAGGTTCAAACTATTACTATATGTATATATAGGTTACATACATTGCATCTTATATATTTTTTCTTTGTTTTCATGTGCATGTACGTATGTTTTCGTGTAAATGCATGCATTTGCTTGCATGCAAATGATTAATCTACGAAATTTCCTTAATAACATTTATGTCAAAGCTCATTAGTAACTAGTAATAATTGTAACGGATGGCCGTTACAGATTAGTCCCCCAAACGACCCCTGATGGACTTAAGGACTTAGGCAGATTCAGACCAAATCTAAAATTTCGACCAATCAGAGGCCCCAATTACGATACCATGGCAAGTGACCTTTTCGAAACTGTTACAATTGTGTTCTGCATCCCTCTAAACTCCTATGTATCAATTTTGGGCAGATTCAGACAACAGCTTAATTTCGACCAATCAGAGGCCTCCATTTCGTTACCATGGCAACTGAGCTATTCGCAACTGTTACCATTGTGTTCGGTATCCCTCAAAACCCCTATGTACCGATTCCGAGCAGAATCAGACTACATCTATTTCGACCAATCAGAGGCCTCCATTTCGTTACCATGGCAACTGAGCTTTTCGAAACTGTTACCATTGTTTTCGGCATCTCTTTAAACCCTTAAGTACTAATTTTCATTGAACTCAGAGCCCAAATATCCAAAAGCGGAAGTGAGGCTCTGGCGGCCAGCTTGGACTTCCGGTAAAGATGAAAATAGCCTGTTGCACACATTGACCCCCTAATGAGTATATTTGTGTAGTTTCATGATGCTCCGCCCGGTAGTTTCTGAGAAAATCTCTGGACAAGTTCATGGCTGAAGAAGAAGAGGAATAAAAAGAAGAACACAGAACAGAAGAAGAAGAATATAATAATAATAACAAGTGCTAATTGTAATGGGGGGGGGGGGATTACAGATGTCCCCAAAACTGCCCCCATAGTTTCGAAGATGCACCAGAAAAGGTCAGGAATGCCATGATACCCTCACAATATACATGTACATGTGAATTGCGACCAATCAGAAGTGTCTGTGTGGTTGCTATGACAATGATACCTATGCGATTGAATTTGAAGTCCCCTGATACCCCTTTATACTTATTTTCATCAAAATAGAACAATATCTATATTTCGACCAATCAGAAGCATTCATGTGGTTGCTATGTCAACGGAACCTATACAGTTGAAATCACAGTCCCCTGATACCCCTTGTACTTATATTCATCAAATAAGAACAATATCTAAAATTGACCAATCAGAAGCCTCCGTGTGGTTGCTATGGCAACAAAACATATGCGGTTGAATTCGCAGTCCCCTAATACCCTTATATACTAATTTTCATTAAATCTAACAATATTTTTTTTTTCGACCAATCAGAAGCCTCCGCGTGGTTGCTTTGAGGTTGCTATGGTAACGAAACATATGCGGTTGAAATCGCAGTCCCCTAATACCCCTATATACAAAGTTTCAGCAAAATCAAACAATATCTAAAAACGACCAATCAGAAACCTCCATGTGCTTGTTATGGCAACGAAACCTATGCGGTTGAATTCGCAGTCCCCTAATACCGTTATATACCAATTTTCATGAAAAAGCTATTAATATATAAATTTCGACCAATCAGAAGCCTCTGCGTGGTTGGTTTGAGGTTGCTGTGGTAACGAAACATATGCGGTTGAAATCGCAGTCGCCTAATACCCCTATATACCAAGGTTCATCAAAATCGAATAATATTTAAGATTGACCAATCAGAAGCCATCGTGTCGTTGCTATGGCAGCGATTTGATCGGAATTTGAAATGCAATATGCACCCCTACGCATGCTCATCTATAAGTTTGCAAAGTTTCATTAAGTTCTGTCAAGTCATCTCTGAGTTTACGTCCGGACAAGTTCGCGGCGGAAGATATTGAAATAATAATAATAATAACAAGTGCTAAATGTAATTGGGGGTCCATTACACATGTCCCCCAAACTGCCCCCATAGTCGCGAAGATGCACCAGAAAAGGTTAGGAATGCCATAGTACACTTACAAGATACCTGTGAATTGTGACCAATCAGAAGTGTCTGTTGTTGCTATGACAGTCCCCTAATACCCCTATATACCAATTTTCATCAAAATAGAACAATGTCTATATTTCGACCAATCAGAAGCCTCCATGTGGTTGTTATGTCAACGGAACCTATACGGTTGAAATCACAGTCCCCAAATACCCCTATAAACTTATTTTCATCAAAATAAAACAATATCTAAAATTGACCAATCAGAAGCCTCAATGTGGTTCCTATGGCAACGAAACCTATGCGGTTGAATTCGCAGTCCCATAATACCCTTATATACTAATTTTCATTAAAATCTAACAATATATAAATTTCGACCAATCAGAAGCCTCCGCGTGGTTGATTTGAGGTTGCTATGGTAACGAAACATATGCGGTTGAATACCAAGTTTCATCAAAATCGAATAATATCTAAAATTGACCAATCAGAAGCCACGTGTCGTTGCTATGGTAACGATTTGATCGGAATTTAAAACGCAATGTGCACCCCTCCCCATGCTCATCTATAAGTTTGCAAAGTTTCATTAAGTTCTGTCCAGTCATCTCTGAGTTTGCGTCCGGACAAGATCACGGCGATAGAAACGGACCAAAAACAATATGTCCCTCAAACTTCGAAACTTCGTTTGGGGGACATAATAATAAGCAATATGTCCCTCAAACTTCGTTTGGGGGACATAGTAATAAGAAACGGAGTAAAAACAATAAGTCCCCAAACTTTGTTTGGGGGACTTAATTACAATGATATGTTGTCAAAGTAAGGCGATAGAATGAAGTAAAAGTTTATATTTTCCCCTATCGCTTAACTACCGTCTAATATACTGTATTAAGTGTGTCCGTTATAAGATGTTTAATAACTGATTCTACCTATCATTCAACAACCGTCTAATATACTGTGTTAAATTATACGTATACAGGTTTATAAAAAACATATTCTTCCAATCACTTATAACCATTCTTATATACTGTGTTTTGCTTGCACGTATTTGAGGTTTATAATAACAGATTCTACATATCATTCATCAACCGACTTATATACTGTTTTTATTGTGTGCGTATTAAGGTTTATAATAACGTCACTCAAAAGCCGATTTATATACCAAAAAATTGTAATATGCACCTATTCAGATTTATATCAACAGCTTATCCCTATTTAGATAGCAGGTGGTTTTAGCCAGTCACATGCGGCTGATCAGCAGACGATACAAGTCAGATGATGACCAGTAGAGACCAACATGTCCATCAATGCTGACGATGAAACGAGTAAACTTCTTCGATATGGAGCGTCTGAAAATGAAAAGAGTCTGGGGACTCGAAATAATGTTCCTCCTCACAAAGGTATTTAATTAAATTCATTTTTATATAGTTTAGCTCATATGTATTCGACAGTAACGCGCCCAACATCGTTTATAACTAACTGCTACAGTTTGTATGTGTGAGATATTTATATACAAGTATATAAAACAAATTACTATTTGAAATCAAGTCATGACATTTAACTGCATTAATAACATCATTTGATTGTAAAGACTCTTGTTCGATGATCCTGACAAAGCTACAATTCGATTTGAGTGGACAACTCGTACATATTTTACACCTTTAAGTATATACGCTCCACTGATCGTTTGCCTGAATAAGGTGACAGAGTACATGCCGTACTTGTAATCGAGATATCACATATACACACTTTTTGGTTGTGTTACAGGAATCTTGCCACAACCCATACTTACTAACCTGAAACAAATGTTTATAGAAAAACATCTTCTTATTGAGGAAAAAAACTAATTCATGAATATTTGAAATATTTAATCAAGCTGCCTATGCTTACGTGGTTCAGACTCGACCGTAGGCTTCCTATCTGTAATAGATAATCAAATCTTGATATATAAAGTTTTAAGGTCAAATTGTTGATTTCCCACATCAGCTTAACATCATGTTAATGCAGAATTTTTTAAATGATTTTATTGAGGAAAACAATTAATTCAAACCACAGCGACACGTTTTAAGTATTTCCATTGATAAAATTGTAATTTAGAATGTTAAGTTATGCATTGTTTAGTGATTTTTTTATTTATTTTTTATTGCAAATCAATATACCATTTGGTGCTTGTCTGTCGTTAAGTTGATATAAATTTCAACAACTGCACTTTGTTATTGCTGATAAATTCAGGCCAACTTAAAAAAAGTTCCTCTTTCGATTATTTTATTTCGGTGGGTATATAGATAAAATTAGTGATAAACCGACAAATTTTAATCTTTATGTGATTTTAAATTTACCCGTACTACTCTGAAATATTTTGAAATTCGTTAAACAAAGGGCTTTAAAAAATTGTAGTAGTAAGATTTCGTTGAATTGTTAATGTATTAGCGAGGCAATATAAATGTAATCAACAAGGAAGAAGATCGGATTTGTTAGCACAAACAGTACAAACATTCCTGTACATTTGGAATTCCTATTATTAAAATGTTTCATTCACATCCCCTTCAGTTGCAACAGTAGTAAGACAAAACCTTCGGATATCTATTCGTTTAGCACCTAGCATCAGCGTTGAGTCCTAAATGGACGAAACAGCTGATTGGTGCAGTGTAATTTATTGTTGATATACTCTATAACGACATTTTAAAGGTGCTATCACATGTGTGAGTCTAACATTCGTCTGTAAAATGGATTGCTCACTAAAAAATATTTATAAAATATCGAGTTATAAGTAATGCTCAAGAAAACACAAATATTTTATAAATTGTACACTGTTTAGATGTTCAATCTAAGTTTCTGATAATTACTGAAAGTGAAACATAATAGTTCTAATTTGTTACAGTTAGAACAATTAATGATGCAATATATGGAGGTATGCTACAAGGTTCAGTCTTTGCATTATTACTTTATCTATGAACAGAAAAAGGTAAAACCCCTTACCTTTTGTTTCCTTTGGACTTATCGGTATCTATTTTGTAATACCAACTTGATGAAACAGACAGACGATCTAAAATTAAATTGCAAAAAATCCAAACACTGGACAAACGCATGGATTGTAACATTCAACCTCAAAAAAGAAGTGTTTTATTACTTGTACTAATTGACTAATAAAACACCATTTCAATAATGTTAGCATTACATTTAAAACAAATCTACAATTTTAATGATAGTTTATGTTCAAATCGCAAAGGAAAACTATCATTAAGTTTAAATTTAAACCTAAAATTTGAAGAAACCTTTGTATTATAACCTACAAATATTTCAAATACCTATACATTTACCTTTTAATTAAGATGCATGGTTATTAACATTGTATTATAGATAGGAAAATTAGTATTTTAAACATTTTTATATTTAAGTTCACTATTTTGTACAAACATATACATGCATGTATATTACATAACATTCAAATGGCAATTTCACAACTTCTAGGTATAAAGTCCGTTTCGTTGACATGGAAAAATACAGTCGGCAGATTTAAGAAAAAAGCAAATTAATGATTGGTATCACCTACCCGATCAGGTGTCTTTCTCTGGGTACTCCGGTTTCCTCCCCTACCATCATCAAGGCCAACAAGAATGATTAAAATAATTCGCAATGACTTATTCATAATTGTTGTAAAATATATAGCGTTTATGTTCAACGATTATTATTATATCGAGAAAAGATATGGAACGGATATGACTGTGATGATAATACCTAGCAAATATAACAAGTATGTAATTGTTGAGGCCGAAATAGGTATAGGGGTATACAATTATCATGTAGGAAAAATATACCAAATGAAAAGTAAAATAAATTGTTAATTGTCTACTTCGTATACTGTGATTTTGCACCGACTTATATATGTTAGCATTCACGCTAGAAGGAAAGTAATTATCTCCATAACTATATAAACAGTTCCTTGTCTATTGTAATTTTGATACATATTTGTTAATATGGGTGTATATTTGATGATTTCCTTAATAACAACTCCTGTCTTCAATAAGAAAACGTATTTTGTTATTATTGCTAGGATACGGAGCCCGCCACACTCTAGCTGTCCTCGCATTCTTTGGGTGTTTTAACACCTATGCCATGCGATTCAATCTTAGCGTTGCTATGGTTGCGATGACAAACCATACGGACATTCGATCTGATTCGAATCTGACAACCGGAAGTGAATGTCCAAGCATGAATCAAACAAAAAAGGCAGTGAATCAGGTAAGCTATGTAAACAAATTCATCTTCGAAATCCAAGGATTCCGATCTCAGCAGACATCCTCACCTCAACCCGGGGAAAACATATCTATGAAAAGATAAATATATCTTTAAATATTTTTTATAAATGTCCTGACAAAAATATAGCATGCAATTAGTTATTTGATTATGTAAGGTGTAAGAAACTGGCCAGTTGTTATGCTGATTTCAGGACTTCAAAGTCAGCCATTGTTACGGTTATTCTCCCTTTCGGTTCTATGGATGTTCACCAAAGGCTCAAACTAGCCTGCCGGTACATGTTTCATCAATATACAACCAGATATTACAAAAACGTATTTAACCAGATATTCCATAACCCGTATATAACCAGATATCTCGTAACTCGTATATAACCAGATATCCCATAATCCGTATATAACCAGATATCAGATAAAACATGTTTCATTGTATTTCACGGCAAATGTTTACAGCAAGTATTGCAGTTTTTAAAACTATCTCCTTTCAAATGTAATAAAAATGATAAAAAGTAATACATGAAATAAATATGTATTTGTACATTAGTATGGAAGTGAGGGAAACCTGTCATATAGAAGGTAGCAGAATCACATTTTTAATTTTTGTGGGATGATATATAAAAAATATAAAGCTAGATATTTAAAGCCATTGCATATTTTTTCCAACTTACTGAAATATAATAACAAATAAAGATTAATAGAACACTTCGCCTATATTTGTGTAATGCCTGAATGGAAAATTGAACAAAACCGTCAAATAATTGAACTATGGACCTCTACATTGTAGACAGACGTTATTTGATAGAATGATACCTCTTTTAAAATCCTGTAGTCTGATCGGTCGAGACAAATCATTCATTTCACACTAACACTCACTTTAACACTGAGTCAATGACAGGGTGCTTTCAAACGCCCTAGCAACGAGTGACAGTGTGTAACATAGCAAAATAGTGACCGCGCAAAATAGTGAAAAAAATGGGCGTACGGTTCGTTTCATCAGTTTGCATTACGAATCATTGCACATATGAAGGTCCGAAGAAACATAATTTGTTACAAATTTAAAAACTTTGTTTATTATTGACTTTCGGCAAAATACATAAATAGTGACGATAGGGTGAAAGTGATACCCTCATGATAACATTAGGAACTATCACACTCTGATGAATGTAGTATTTATATACAAGTTTAATAATATATGTTCCAATCCACAAATATGGTCACTGGCCAAGTCCCCAATTAAGAGGTTTTTTAATGTAGCGCAAAAGGACTATTTTATCACTGACATATTCCCCACATTTCATCACATAGTAAAGTACTGGGATACTACTTGAATCGTTCTTCTAGCGAAAGAAAAACAAATATCAAATTAAGCATCAATTTCCTTATGAATTGTACATGTATACGTTCGACACTACGCCCCATTCTGTTTTCAATTTTGTTTTGTTTTGGTATAACAGGCTCCAGAATTTGATTGGGATGAGGCAACGCAGGGATTCATATTGAGCTCGTTTTTCTACGGGTATGTCGTCACTCAGATACCCGGGGGTTGGCTAGCAGGACGATTTGGCGGAAAACTACTTTTCGGACTGAGTGTCTTGATACCAGGGATTCTGACAATTATCACACCCCTGGTTACAAAACTAGGACCAGCTGCGCTCATAGTTACCCGAGTTTTAGAGGGATTAGCTGGCGTAAGTATTACTTGAGAGAGGATAGAGTTAAGGGTCCTATCAACAGCTTAGGTGAATTAAGGACGTTTTGGTTAAGGTAAACAAAACATCACAGCGCCCAAGGACAAGGGCACAAAACATAAAAAAATCATTATAATATTCAATATTGATCAATTGGAAACTCCTTAAAATAATGGCTGAGCTTGATCTCCATTTTATCATATCTATTGCAATTTATCCGTACTACAATGTTTAGACTTTTTAAGATTAATTCGAAATTGTATGCGAAAAGATATTCGCAGCAAGCTTATGAGTACTGAATCAACTGAAACATGAAAACAACATAAATAGGTGAAGAAGGGGTATCGCTACCAAGAAAATGAAACATCACGATCGGAAAGTCACAAGCTGTCCCCGTTGAACATTTTGTTCGTTAAGATTGAGGAATGCAACTGAAGAATACATTGTATATAGTGTCCTTGATTGATTCCAAGCCCTGGAGTATATATTATGATCGATGTGCTCTATGAATTTTTTGATATTCAAAGATAGCACATCGTCAATATCTCTGAATGTGAAATTGAACCGCTTTGCTTGTTTTTTGTTACCAGTCCTGATAAGCGTATCGATAGATTCACCTTCATGTGAAAACAAATCCAAATCGGCAAAAAGATGGTCACAGTTTGTTCCCTAAGAAATACATAATCTGCTAGGAAACTTGTCATCAAACTCACCAAAGATGTTGTCAATCATGAAATAATTCTTAACCACAATATCATTCTCGGTATATATCGTGTTGGCCCAATGTGTACTTTTCACAAAACATGCTCCAAAAATAATTTGCAACCTCCTATTTATATGAAGGCTCGCCTTTTCTTAAAAAAGGATGCTTTCGTAACAAGAAAACGAATACGTTCCTTGTTTGGTAGTAGAAAAGGTAGAGTGAATGGTCGAAAAATCAAATGATTTGGTAGACGCAACAATTTTCAAAAGAGGATGATCTAGATTCATCGAAAACTCTTTGGATTTCTTCAACATTCTATTTATTTCACTTCTAAAGTGTCATAATACGACCCTAGTTATATAGTACTGAGAATGATACAGGTAACAGTGAGGTTTAGCTAATTGCTTTGTTGAGCAACTAGAAGAGCCTACGATAAAACGCTATTCATATGGATTCTCTTGAAAGTTTTGACAGCCAATACAAACGAGGCAGGTCTGTATTTTAAGAATTAGTGGCTATTCGGAAATATTGTCATACATGATTGTGCTCGTATTTCGTCATTCTAAAAATTCGAAAATGTGTAAAGATTTTTTGGGGGTTATTTCAGAAGCTAAGTTCTTTCTGGAAACAGGTTATGTAATCGGGTTTGCAGATAAACATTGTGTTAATATATATGCTTTGTCTGCAGAAACAACAACATACCTATCATGCAGATCATTGATTGTTGTTTGGACAGCGGGTCAAGAAATGCAGGCCTGTGTCTTGTTTTCAGTTTAGATTTCAATCATCTAATTTTTTTTAGAATGATGGACCGGATGGATTTGACACTCTCTGAACGGGAATCCAATTCAACATGCTCTCGATTTGCCAAGTGTCTGGCGTAGTATTCCACATAATGCATAAGCATATTGAAATTATCATACAAATTGATAGTAGGGTTTCTCGATACTTATGACACTTCTTGGAAGGCTCCCTTATCTTTACATAATGGATAATATTTAGATCGCTAGTTACCACGTATCCAGGCGAACAATGGTGATATTGGGACGTCGAGCAAAAACATGCTGTGGGGGAGTTATTCTAAGGTCATCTAAGATCGTGCTAAAAATAAACCGTGATTCTTAGTTAACGTAAGATGAACATGTGAAAACTTGAAAAAGGAGACAGTGGCACAGATTTGAAAATGTGCTTCCCCGATTGGTTGAATAACGACTTCATAATGAATCATGTACAGTTTCGCCTTTTTGTTAAATACAAAACACTGAAAACACTCTGCTTAAAAGAGTGTGTTTTGTTTCTTTTACAACAACAAATTACAAGAAATGGAGCAGTTTCTTACAAATTTTATCTTTCATACATAAACAAGTTTGTACTTTTTTGAATACACTTTGTCACGGATGCATGCATTGTTCACACAGATAATTAATATGTGTACAAGAAATAGGAACTTTTATATTGATAAAATATGTTTTATATTAGGAGGATAAATATCCTTCTTATTTAAAACAAATATATGTACACAAGTATATCACTTTAATTACATAAATGTCTTAAGAAGTATATATAATTTCTTTATAGAATATCAGTCGTAAACAGTTTTTAGTGTTCAACTATGTCCCAAAGTGTGTCATATTGTAAGTAAAATATTATATTGATTTATTCTTAAAATAAGGGATTGACTTTCCCAGCGCTCGCCTCCATGCTTGGACAATGGGTACCGGAAATGGAAAGGACCATAATTCCAATGTTCATTTTTGCAGGTAAAACATATTAAGCGAGCATTTATGTCAATGGTCTGCTGTATAGAGAGATATCTCCGCTGTTACATTAAAACTGTGATTTTTGAAGTAAATGATAAATCTTCGAAGTCAACCATTTACCAAATACCGAAAGTTATAGAAAATTGTAAAAAGGCAGTACGCCAGATACACTTTTTTTCGAAACAATTCAAAAATAACAATGTACACAATCGAAGTTATGTACAGTGTCGGCTACGCTCCAATGTTTTGATCCTATTCCTTAAAATAATATTGAACCACATCCAAAGAACTGTCGTAAACCTATACTTATAGCAACATTGCAACACATCGAACATTTTGTGGCTCGTAACTTAGAAAAAATATATAATAACTAAACAATTTGAAGGTTGTTTAGATAATTACGGGGGCCTAAACCTTTTAAAGAACAATATCTGTATTAACAATTCTGAGATTGTTTTCAAAGAGGAATACTTTAAGAGTGTAAAATAATATTCAGACTTTTTGTTAGTGAAGAATATTTAAGATACATGAAAAAAGATATCTGAGCTTGTCTTCGTAATGAGGGATACTTATGGAAAAATCAGCATGGATTAGGTTATGTTAAAGTGAGAAATACCAAAGGGAAACAAATAGCATGCTGATATATTACGCATACCTATAATGAAGGGTTATCTTTTTAAATTGGATGAAATTTTATTATTCACCAATGAAAATATCCATTTAAAAATGTTAAGAGCAGAGTAATATGTATTGGGTAATCTTAGTGAATGTGGTTGTTAGCCGATGCCTGCACTACCTTTTCCTCCTAGAAGAGTGAAACAGCTATAAGGCACAGTGTAACACATTTTGGCCTATTGCATCTTTTACCAACTGTTGAAGGTTCAGTCACAGGTGTTTGTTACTTTCATCCTTCCAGATACAAAGGTATAAATATAGTAGACACTGCTGGTGGATATGTTCACTGTATACCAGGACATTTTTACCCAGTAAAATTTTCGCTCTTTTGCGGTAAAATATAATTTCGCCTTATGTTAATTCGCACTTCACATTTAATTAATATGTATATTATGCTGTTTACAAACGTTTGCTGTGATTATAAATTTGCCCTCATTCGAGAGGTTGAAAAAGGCGAAAAGTCAACTGCAGCGAAAACTTCCTGGTATACAGTATATCAATATAGCAATGGACCGAAATATCCATGTCCATATTTGATATGCTTTTTTGTAAAGTTTATATCATGATTAACGTTGGTGTTTGTGTCAAAACGTCACAGGTTGCAGTCTAGGAAATACTGTATGTCTACCAATAGTGGGTTATTTGTCTACATCTGAATCGATGGGTGGATGGCCGTCCGGCTTCTACATATTTGGTGAGCATTATTTCATTATTTCATACAGCATATGTAGCATGTAGCATATCAAATTATTCAACGTACTCCTTCAATACAAATAAAACTACATGTAAAACAAATACACTTTTTAATCAGTGTGGGCTTTTAATATTTCATACATTTTATGTTCCAGGCGGGCTGGCGTGCGTTTGGTATTTATTTTGGCAGTTTTTAGTACACAACACTCCCGTGCAGCATCCCACAATATCCAAAGCGGAGCGGGATTATATTCAAAGTACAACCGGAGCTACGACAGCAGTGAAAATGTCAAGTAAAGTACGACATCAACGTTACTAACACTGTCAAAGACATTTTAGTATCACCCTATATTGGAAAAAAGTTTAATACTTATGCTTTTATTTTTATTTTTTTCTAAAAAAATAACTACATAAGAATCCCATTCAAATTAAGACTCTCAGTAATGGTTAGATGATGGAACAGCCTAATACCATGTGCATTTTCCTGTTACTATTAAATAAACTCAAATATATACCGTGGGGAAAAAGCATAGCGAAAAATAATAAGGTCGTAACTTCGTCACGGTTTGAAATGTATTAAAACTTGGACGTAAAACAGATAGGCCGACCTAAGAAGTGACCTTTTCACATGTAGCAGTACCGTACATATAAAACTACTCCTATCACAGACAATGATATGGTGAAAGGATTTAAATATGTAAATGGGAAATTGTTATCAATAAAATGGTGTAGACTTTAATTGTAAATTGCAGTTAAGTCGCCACATCGTTTCGCACGAGAGGGAATGTATCCTTTTAGCGCGAATGGTAGTACCGCGGACTGTGTAGCCCGGGGTCGGATGTCCGATGCAAGGTTGAATACTATTCTATTTCATATTTCATTTATATTGCATTCTCATAAAAATCACTTATAATTTTATGTTTATATCGTTTATTCCCAAGGTCTGCTAGTTCCAAACAATAAATTTGAAGATCTGCCATGTTTGTGTATCTCGGGTGAGCCTTTTTGTCCTAGTACAGGAAGATAATTGTATGTCATTTAGCTCATTTGCTGTTTCGATAAAAATAATATGTTTTTGTTATTCCGGTAGGATTACATCGTACCATGGCGAGCTATACTGACGTCATCAGCGGTGTGGGCAGTAGTCGTTCTTAACTTTACGACGTCATGGGGGTATTTTGTCACGCTGACGTCACTTCCTACATATATGAACAAAATACAGAAATACGATATCGCACAGGTAAGTTAAAACCTTTGATCTCTAGGTGCAATACTAATGAATTGTCATTGTTGTTGACCTTCTACAAAGGCATTTAACCACCTTTCTAGATCTATAAGATAAATATAGGAAGTTGCTATCGGAAAAGTAGGATTGTTTTCATCAATGATATTAAATATCGTTTGTATTTTGTAAGTTACATAGGTAACTAAAGGTTGTTAGTTGTGATCAATAATTAATTACAATGACCTACGTTCATGGTCATCCTGGTAAACCAGTGTCCATATCATAGAACTATGTCGACTAAATATACTAGATAATAAATAGCATACTCCCAATAGAAGACAGTAACATCAAAAACTCTTGGAACAGTATTTAAATATAACATACTATAAACATTATTTATTTTAAATAGATTTAAATGATTGTGCGTAAATCAAGTCAATGCTATTTACAGCAAAAATGTATCAAAATGGTTTAAAAGCTAAACAAAATTTTCTTTTATGCCGATACACCTGCTATGTATCACACGTGTGGAATGAAGTTTAATTTTAATCCACACCGTTTCTCTCAGACATATTCTTCATATCTTACAATGTAAAACACCTGTTACATGTAAGTATCACCTCTCGCAATTAAACATAACATATCTTTACCTTAACAGTAAAATATGTAACAAAAATGGATACCTTCTAAATGACTCTTACTCAAAGTGAAAATACTTTACATCCAGAAATTTGCAAAATATCTTATCTCACAAACATCGAAACACGATCTAAACATCCAAAATTATATCAAAAATCTTCTCTCGCTATCAAAGTGGAAAGTGCTTTACTTTTACAGTCAGATATATTTCAATTGTTTTTACCTTTCAATTTTTTTTTCTCTAAATGAAAGCGGAAATATGTTTACATCATTTGTTTTTTTTAAATGTAATCATATTCCTTATAGTAATATTGGAATATCAAACGTATATATGTAATTATTATATTCATATTTCAACACATCCACATAAAGTTGATAAAGTAAAGAAAGAAACATTTTGACACTTTTTCTAATGACACCAATATTGTTTTCGTTATAATTAAATGGTATAGGATGGCCTATTGGTTGCACTTCCTGATCTCGTCAACCTTATATTAGGACTCATCACAAGCTGGATATCAGACTACCTACGTCAAAAAGGGTACCTGTCGACAGTAGCCGTCCGAAAACTCACAACTTTAATTGGTAAATTTTAATGTTTGATACATAGATTAAGCTATTTTTCATTGATTGGATTCTTACTTAGTAACTGTACATTTCACGTTTTGGTCCATAGGGATTTTTAATTAATTAACTTGTAATTCGATAAAGAGGATACAAATCTTTGATATTTTAGTTATGAAACTCGAATAATTGAAAGCAATCTTAAATAATATTTCGAAATAAAAATAAATAAATACATGAATAGAAAAAACGAAACCAAGATTTTTTCTTTCTGATAACGTAGCGCAAAATGTACAGTCATACAATTAACAAATCATAATGCTAGTAGGTCATTTTCCAATTTCACATTGTCCTTATTTTGATAGCAGACTAAGGTTCTTTGTAATGAGTGTACCGTTTACTAAACATGACGTTAATGCCAAGTAAAATTGTTCTGGTGAGCCTGTATTCTTGAAACCTTTCTCATGCTCAAGCCTAATTACTTTCGGTTATATACTCTTTTTTTAAATATCATTTTGTCAACGTTTTCGAAAAGAAATTGAGAGACACGACGCTAAATACTGTTTTCAATATTAACAATTGACTTTCTGATCGTTGACATGATTAAGGTGAGTTACAAGAAAGCTGGCTTGAGCACATAATCCATGCTTGAGCATGAGAACGTTTTCATGAATAGAGGCCCTGAAATTAACTGAATGAATGAACTCTGGCCCAGAAGCTTAAACTTGACCCGGATGAGTGAACTTGGCAATGCTTTTTAAACTTTAATCCGAGTTTTAATTCGGACTGTGTTGAGTCAGGTCTGATGGGAAAGGGTGAACTATATTGGGGAGATGTAAACTCAGACCTGTATTATTGAAATACCCTGACAAAACAAGTAAGTTGACGTCGTGATTAATAATTATTTTCCAGGACTGTCGGCGGCCGCCGTAGTGCTTCCGTTCATCACTCTTGCCGGATGTAACAACGTGGTTGTCGTATTACTTATTGTGGCCGGGAACGGAATGCTGGGAGTTTCCGTGACAGGCCTTAGCTCAAACATATACGACATAGGCCATAACTATGCAGGTGATTTAGGATAGATATGTAGCACAGTTTACAAGATAATGCCGGTTTTTGTATATATCTTCAGGATCTTAGTTTTTTTAAAGAGACTTAAGAGATTGTTTTTCAGAATAATTGCCATTTTGTAGTTTGTATGGTGGTATTCGTATTATTTAAAAAAATCACCTTGCATATAATGGATTGGGAAACAAATGTTTTGTTTCATATCACTTTGCTTTATCAATAAAGTTTCAAGCCAATGTATTGTACCCATTTTCAAATAAAATGTGTTCAATGTATCTCTCTTTAAAGATATCTTATAGTAATCATGGCTAAATTTGTATTTCCCCACTTTAAGTTGTATGATATATCAGATCATCCAACTAGTCTATGTAATGATGATCCCAAAGGCTATTTGTATATACCCGAGTAATAGATAAACTATATTTATCACATAACTGACCTATTTTACTGTGTCATACGGGCATGCCATAAATATGGAATTACAAACCTATAATAAAACCTAAAGATGCTGCGGTTGGTCAAAACCGTGGAAACTTATTCCTACGCCTCTACAGGACTACCTTTGTTTTCTTACCACATGATTCCATTACTATTATTTTGTCATTATTAGTTTCGTTGCATTTAAAACTGTTCATTATTTAAAACAAATCTGGAACTACTTTGTACTGTGAGGAACGACAATACTATGCAGAGTAATTTGGTTTTGACTTTAAAATAGTCAGCTGATAACACGTAATCGTGTTTGAAGTTAATTTTTCAACTTATGAATGCTATGTGATAAATATACTCTCTAATGTGTGTACATGTCATATTGTATTTATTAAGCTGGCTCAATAAATTAATATAACTCGAGCCTTCAAATTATTGAACTCGTTTTATAAATTCAATATAACGTGGCAACGTACTCGTACAACAATTATGAAACACGTTATATAAACTTATCTTAACCATCTTCTCTTGTTGGTTTGGATGTTAGCGCACATGCCTCGGTTACTCGAAGGTTGATATGAGATAGCCAGTGGCTAGGAAAATGTTTAAGATATGAACACACAAACAATAAGAACATCTAATAGCTTGGATGAAACAACTAGGATTAGTGTGCTTTTTAACAGTATTTTCAACTTTTCACAAACCGCTGATTCTAGGTAACCAACTTTGACCAAACAGGGCCTGAACTTCTTGGGTTTAAATGTGGAGGAAAACCATAGTACCATGCCAAAATACCTATGTGGTTTGGCAGTTGAACCAATACCTTTTCACCTCCGATCTGGGAATCGAACCCCGATTGTCTTGGTGAAAGGCGAGTGCGTTATCCACTGCGCCACCCGGCCGACCGTTTTTGACGATGACTTGTGACGGCTATCAATGTTCTTAGACAGTTGTTTTTCCATTAAAGAATATTCAAGGCTATTTTCAAATCTGTTTCTAAAAAACATATCTAACATATAATACAATGGTTTTTTACAAGGAATATTTTTGGTAAGGCCTCTTTAAAACACCATACATGTTACTGGTTTGGTCATCCCGATTGCAATATTTGAAAGAAATGACTTACTTTAAAGAAAAATTGCATTCGTTCTGAAATTATTTGCAATATTTTTTCAGATTCAATGTCATACAAATATTACAGTTATTGGAGTTCATTGTATTATTTCTATCAGATCATTGTTTCTGCGATACTGCTGTTTCGATGGGTTATTATATGTCAGATTTATCCAGATTTTACAATTATATTTTCTATTCTGCTCAAGATATTCCGTGCAATGCATTTACAAAGCAACAACAAATTCACTACACAAGTTCTAATTCAAGAGCTGAAATTACGTTCGTCCTTTCAATTAGAAGTGCAGGATTTTCTCCATTAGTCGAAATTTACAATCGCATTCTGAAGGTCGATCAAGTCTACCCCCACAATCTCTAGAGCAATATACTGGAGGAGCGGTAGTTTAGTGGTAGGACGCCGGGCTCGTGACCGAAGGGTTACGGGCTCGAGTCACGTCACGTCACGGCACTATGTTGTATCTTTAGACAAGATACTTCACTCCGCTTGTTCCAGCCTACGGAGCCGTAAATAAGTACGTGGTTGGGCAGTGCTAGAATTGTTGAATGCTAGCTGTAAGCGACGAAATGGCAGCTACGGCTGAATGCTCCCCAGTGAGTTGAGAATGCTATTCGCTGGTTGCAAAGGCCCTATAACCACGGATAATAATTTGTGAACCACTTTGAGACGACCTAAGACCTAGGTTGTGATAAAGCGGTATATAAGAACCTAGAATTATTATCATTTTTTCATATACAGGAGATATCTCAATAATTCAAGCTAAGCCTGCACCAAAACATGTAACAATATTAATCAATTACTTTGAAAATACTGCTATTTGGGTTTTTTTGAGATTATTGCGATGATTTGATAATTTATTAAAAAAAATAAAAAAATAGATAAAAATAAACCAATCAATGAAAACAGAACAAAAAATAAAAAAGAAGTGCTGAAACAGAAAAAAAACTGCTGTTCTATATATTTAACCTAAAAATCATGGAAAGATATAAAATAATTTTACATATCCATAATTTATGTACTTCTACTGTAATATATGCAAAAATGCACGTTTTATATTCACAGGTACACTTTCTGGAATCTCCAATTTCTTCGGGAATATGCCAGGGATAATAGCGCCTTACGCTGTTGGCCTTATCACAAATAATCAGGTTAGTTATTGAGACTATTCACGTTTATAACATTAGTTCACAATGGATGAGTCAAGTTTCATTTTTGACCTCAGACTCACTACAACACGTCATTAAAAGATATTACATAATTTCTGCGTCAAATTTTAAAACAAGATCTGGAACACAGATATTACGTTCAGAAAATCAAATATCAATAAATTGTCACATATTCCACTTGCCTTAATCTGTTGAAATTATTCTGATTGGTTGATACATTTCATATCACAAATATAACTACAGTAGTTCTTACTATCTTAGTTATTTGGGTCAATATACTTCATGTTTTAGCTAACATAAAGTATAAACATGATTTTGTTTTTCGAACCTACTATTGATCATTGTTTTAAATTACATATCTACAAATAACCACTTGACGGGTTTCTTAAAAATTGCACATTATTTGTGTTTCAAGTAAAACGTTGTGTTCAGGGTTTGTCGTGAGAACAATTTTCTCATCGCGTGCACGTGGATACAATCGAGAGGTTACCGCAGGTGGACTCGATACTTTAAGCACGTGATAGCGATAAAAATCAATCGAGCATCAAGACCCTGAAAACATTGTGCGATAAGCTGTTTGTCATCTATATACTTCTACCTTATATATTTCTCCACCCATTAAAAGTCAGCTGAACACCGTATTTTCAAAATGACTGATGGACTCAATGATCCTCAATCGCAAGGTCCTCGGTTATGACAAATGTAAACAAATAGAAAATTTACTCGGATGAATAACATAAACCTCAACACTATGTAGGACAATATTTCAGATACAATTGTACAGCCATTGGCTTCTCCACACGCACAGTTACGCTTAAAATGGTGTTGTCATCCTCACAATATTTTTTTTGTAACTTTATTTTGATTCTTTAAAACGGACTAATTTCTTATGTTAATCACTTTTGTGCGGATACCCTTTCGGGTTCAGGACGTCACCTGGCGCCTAAAGGCGGTTTTGTTTTGAGAAAATACCTTTCTAAATGGGAAAATATATTATCCCAGATGAAAAGATGAAAATATGTTAAATTAACGAAGTTAAAGCGACCGTCTAGACTATGTTGTTTGTAAATTTTCTGATGCAATAATCTCCATCAAGATACATTTACAAACATTAAACAGTTACAAGAAGCACATAAAAAAACAATTTATTACATTTTGCCAGTGAAATATCGGATTCTATCAACTTGATAAAACTAATATCTTTCACACAGTGACTAATATCAAAAGTGATATTTTGACAGTGTGAAAATATCACTTTTTGATATTGACCAATCATAACGGTATCTTCTATTCACTGCATTCAGAATTGTGTTGAGTATCCCATTCAAAATGGTGCGCAGCCTTGTTGTCAAGTGTGACGTCATTAGGATATGGCGCTAATAATTACGCTCCTAATAACCGCCCTTTTATAATGCATTACTAATTTCATGTTTTATGCTTTAAAAATGTAATAAATAGAAAATGTAATGGTGTCTTCAGTAATAACAAATATATTTCACTCGTGTGGCTAATATTTTGATCGTTTTCACTCGTGCTGCGCACTCGTGTAAAATATCAAAATATTAGCCACAATCGTGAAATATATTTTTTATTACTGACGACACCATCAAATATCAAATGCACATACACATTTTGAATAAATAGTTTTGTTTTGCTGTTATTGACAGGAAACCATGGCGAGATGGGAGATAGTTTTCTACATATCCATGGCTCTGTATTTATTTGGACTTGTCTCGTTTCTCATATTTGGCAAAGGATCAGAACAACCTTGGAACAGGGTTCCCAAGGAAATGACACACTATACCGAAACTAAGGAGCAATAACTATAACTTAACTGTTGTAAATCTACATTAGGTCTGTACTGATTATGTCAAGGAAACTTCCATTGCCACTTTAATATACGTAGATAAGGATTGATTATCGCAGATTGGAGACAAAACGTCCAAGCTGATGTGGTTTCGTCAGTTGGACGACTCGTCTCCTATCTGCGTGTAATTTATGTGTTGTTATGATTTTTGTTTTTGTTAATAAATGATGCTTATAAGAACAAGTTTGTACATTATATTTGTCATTGTCAATGTATGCATATTACAAAGAACGTGATTTTTTCTTTCTTTATCATTTATTTCCTAGCAATGGAATCTGGCAGATTTGAGTCCCTTGTGTCAACATATGTACAATATGTATCTTTATATCGCAGGATGTTCGTTCGCCATTCAAATATACTGTTACATACTCATTCATTCAAATCAAAGTCTTACATACCAATGACTATGTACCATTCATACTATATAATAAGAAGGTCATTCAATAACTGCTGTCACCACACAGCTCCCGTACGAACGTGCAATACAATAGAATAGCGCATTTACAGACTGCAGAAGCATTTAAAGAATAATGAACGTGCAAAAAAGTTTTTTTTTTTTAAATACTGATAACATATGTTAGTTGTGACTCATGAAAGCTACCCGGTAAGAGACCTGTGTATATTACTTGGAACCCCAGAGATTCATTAACAGCAAGCAATGGTTGTCCAAATATAAAAAAAAAAGACCAGTGATTGGCAAGACGTAAAAAAGGCGGGGAATGTTTTGTATGCCTTTTTTCAACTTTAGCGGGCCTTTGGTTCAGATATCGTGCGAAAAAGTAAACTATCAAAGTTTTTACAGAGACAAAGAACTGAAGTCTGTTCAAAGATGCTACATGAAAAAGATTGAATGGTATCAAGCTAATTCACAACAGTACTGTACCCCACAAAAGCAATATTTTACATGTGTATTTAAAGCAAGGTACGAGGTACAGATTGACCACCCACCCATTTCACCAGATCTAAGTTTCTGTGACGTTTTTCCTGTTTCCTCTTATAAAGACAAGGATCCCTGGGAAACTAGATGACCCTAGGAGTACTCTGGGTAGTGCAATCTTCTAGTGTCTCGCTAGTATACCAAGGGGAGACTACCTCGCTGCTTTTATGTCATGGATAGCGCGGATGCGAAAGTGCGTTTCTGTTAAGGGGTATACTCTGAAGGATTGTAACAGAAAGATCAAACGGAATATACACCAGTCATGTGATTCCTGACATTAGTGACCTTATTTATTGAATGACTGTCGAATAAGTTTAATTACTTACGACTATCCTGTAAATAAAGCTATCATGAAGAGTGTAACTTATTAATATTTAGCATTACATTACTATAGGATAAACATATATCCTTTGTAAGTAATACTGTTAACGTATTTATTTCAGAAGTATTCTAATTTTAACGGCATTGTGGTTGCACCGATTGACGTTTCTTTCCTATAGCATATATGGTGAGTGGGCCTACTTCTGAGTGTGCTAATCTGTTATGATTGAATAATACGCTCAAAGAAACTGCTGAAATAAGTTCTTTTACATTATACAAGTGTATATATTTAAGAATAAACATGTTTACGACATAGAATATAAAGCCATACATTATAGAATGAACATATATGCATTATAGAATACAAATCACACGTTGTTGAATACATAATTTTATATCAAAGAATACAAATATATAAAAACAAAAAATGTACATAATAAAGTACCAAAGAATATGTTAAAGAGTACACTCACATGTATGTTCGTTATACAATAAAAAGATAAACAAACCTATGCTTCAAAATTGTCGGATACAAAGCATGCTATGTAAAAACAAACAAGGATTTCCATATTATTGACAAACATATGTGTTTCAGAATAAAAACATCTATAAGATATATAATATACAAAACCTATACGTTATAAAAGGAATATACGCTTGTTCTGACATCATTGAATACAAAACGTATTTATCATAAAATTTCTAATTTCCTCCGCATTTCCTTTGGTTGATCCGTTAGAGGTGCCCAGTTATCATGTTTGTTTTTACCCTAAAAAAAAGTCCCAGCTTCAGGTCAAAGCGACACCAGCTTCATGTCACAAGGACAAAGTATACAACAACTAAACCACATCAGTTCAAAATGCCAGACAGCGTCAAAACAAACGAGCAAATAAATAGCAGAGAGTCAAGACTGAAGAGTATTATGACTCAAAGTCTGCGAAATAACGTAACAGTAGAAAGCATCATAAGAAGACAGCCTCAACGTACAAGCAAGTACATCACCAACTATATATACCACAAGATAACGCTGTCAGTCATGATACAATGGCAACCCATAGGTCATATAAGGTTATGAGTACAATCGCACACCATTTAAATAAAATCATCTCCGGAAGTGGATCGGGCAAATAAACAGTAATCGTAGTCATGAATCAATTGGCTATTTCATTGTATCATTTGAAAGTCGATGTATTATGTGTATTAATGTAGCTGTTGTTTCTATGTCAGTACCCTGCAATACTTGGATTTGAATTTATTCACAATGACGGGTGTTGTATGGAACATTTGGTCTTTTTCTCCTTGCACTTTTTTTTGCAAAAGGCTCTTTAATTATTTCCCCTTTGTTCATATGTGACCTTAGTTTTATGATTTTAAATTCGAACTTCGATTATGTTGACATTTCGGTATACTCTTTGACTGTCCTCAAAATGAGTAGATCAAATAATGTTACAAACTGAAGATAACTTCTTTATCACTTTATTACATCCGCAATCTGGGACACATAATTTGCCGAGAACAATTCAAACGAAACGCAAAAATACATGTGTACACCTTACTTACACATAACTGATTGATATGGTACGGGATGCTATATTTGATATCAATTTATGATGTCTGGCCTTGTTATCTTTGCTAGTCCAGGTAGATAACAATGTTTATACGTATACGTGTTACAACGTTTTAAAGCTACATAGTCGGTGAAACTATATAAAATGTTTATCTTGTTCCATGTCTTAAAACTAGAAATACTGTACATAATGTAAAACCAGCCTATTCTTATTGAATTAGTATCCAATTGGGTTTACTTGATTCTTCACAACACTAGTAACATTGGTATAAAGATGCTGCAAAATGGAAATTGGTAATTCACAATATTGATCAGATGTCCTTAAACACAATATTATTAGATAAGTGAATAAAATAAGATTGTGTGCGTATATATAGTATGATATGTATTAGGTATGTAAGGACGAGAAATCATTGAACTTGCAGGATGAGAGACATAACGGTATTGTGTTAGTATACTGACAACAGAAATGCAGGCATGCCTTCTATAAATAGAACTGATGAGACAAGTAAATTATTAAAGACAAGTACACAATACAGGAGACGTGATGTCCAACCACATAAAGGTAAGTATTCACTACCGTATACATATACCTATAGGATGCACTGTATTACGTCATATCTGTGACTCGTAAAAATAGTTAGACAGGTATGTTCAATGTTACTATACTGTAAGCAAAACAGTTTGTTGGTTTACCAGAACGTTCGGTAGTGATGTTACTTTAATGTTAACGATAACACATAGATGGCGTAAAACCACGTTCGGTAGTGATGCTTTTATACTGTTAACGATAACAGATAGATTGCGTAACATGACGTTCGGTAGTGATGTTACTTTAATGTTAACGTTAACAGATAGATGGCGTAACACAACGTTCAGTAGTAATGTTACTTTAATGTTAACGATAACACATAGATGGCGTAACACAACGTTCGGTAGTGATGCTTCTATACTGTTAACGATAACAGATAGATGACGTAACACAACGTTCGGTATAGATGCTTCTATACTGTTAACGATAGCAGATATATGGCGTAACACAACGTGCGGTAGTAATGTTACTTCAATTTTAACGATAACACATAGATGGCGTAACACGACGTTTGGTAGTGATGTTTCTATACTGTTAACGATAACAGATAGATGCCCTAACACAACGTTCGGTATAAATGCTTCTATACTGTTAACGCTAGCAGATATATGGCGTAACACAACGTGTGGTAGCAATGTTACTTTAATGTTAACGATAACAGATAGATGACGTAACACAACGTTCGGTATTGATGCTTCTATACTGTTAACGATAGCAGATAGATGACGTAACACAACGTTCGGTAGCAATGTTTCTTTAATGTTAACGATAACAGATAGATGACGTAACACAACGGTCGGTAGTAATGTTACTTCAATGTTAACGATAACACATAGATGGCGTAACACGACGTTTGGTAGTGATGTTACTTTAATGTTAACGATAACAGATAGATGACGTAACACAACGTTCGGTAGTGATCTTTTTTTCTTTTTTTTTACAAGACAAGACAAAACATTGCTCATAAGTACATGATTGTTCATACATATTAAACAAAGGTTTCTATAAAGTCTATCATCATCATCATCCTGGCTTAGTGCTTAACATCATCATTATCATCACCATCATATGATATCATCCTAATCGTCATAATCAGACATCATCATCATATAAGATATTATTCTTAACATTATCATCTGACATCATATGACATCATATGACATCATCAACATCATCATCTGTCATCATCATCACAATCACCATCATCATCCTGACATTTTCTAAACATCATCATCATCATCAGTATCATCTTACATTATCATCATCTTCATCATCATCATCATCAGCAGCAGCAGCAGCAGCAGCAGCAGCAGCAGCAGCAGCAGCATCATCATCATCATCATCATCAGACATCATCATCATCACATAAGATATTATTCCTAACATTATCATCGTAAACATCTGACATCATATGACATCATCAACATCATCATCTGTCATCATCATCACAATCACCATCAACCCGACATTTTTCTAAACACCATCATCATCATCACTATCATCTTATTTCATCATCATCATCATCATCATCATCATCATCATCATCATCCTGACATAATTATTAACATCATCATCCCTATCATCATATTCCTCATCCCCATCATCATCATATAAGATAGTATTCTTAATATTCTCATCTGACATCATATGACATTATCAACATTATCATCATCACCATCATCATCATCAGCCATCATTATCCTATGTCATCATTTTCATCCGATATCATAAGCAGATATTAAAAATGTACATACATAAAGACATATGACATACTGTGACACTGATGCAAAAACAATATATTTACATTTGCATGGCATTGTCACTATATAGCCTCTTTGAAAGCTGTGTCGTTGATGGGACTTTAATTACCATGCATCACGAGACACAATTCTTAGCGTATTAATACAACACTGACCGGAACTACAATATCTAAAATAAATAAACATGACCGTTGCTGAAATATTGCTGGGCATTGTGAGATTTGACAATGTCATTGTAAATGTATGTGCAAAATAAGAAATAAAATAAAAAAAAACACTTTCATTACAACGTAAACAAGACCAAGGTCTGCAATATCGTACAAAATGCACATCGGTTGAAATCACCAATGCCGGCAAAAGAAACAAACATAACGCTCATGCAATTTATCAGAAATATCGTCTGTTACACTGCACTGATCAACAGGGGTTCGTTACAAATGTCTGAAATACACATATTCTATAGACCTACTGACACATATGTTACAGACCTACTGATATGAGTCACAGAACACATAAACATTTCAGACAAGTGTAACGAACCTGTGCTCCGTCGCAAGATCACTCACTTCAAACGCTATCAGTTTCACGCGTCTCGCATCCATGGTTCATCAGTTTCTGACGACATGTCAAATAATGACGCTGTTATAGAATCTACCGACTGATGTCAGGTTCCCATACAATCAACAAATAAATTCACGCCTGGATTCTTCACAAAAAGAGTAAAGAGTAAAGTTCGAATTATCTTCCAAAAATAACTCCCTCGTGGAGGGCAAGCGCGCATTATGTTGTTTGCTTGCAAAGCTGTGTCATTCAAATAGATCATAAATACCATACAAAAACAGTTCAATGCTTTAATATATAAACCTATGACATCAAACACACAAGAGCAAAACCAGATAAACTGAAACAGAAAGAAACAAATCAAAAGTAACAACAACAAAACCCAAAACACATCGGTAGTGATGTTACTATACTGTTAACGATAACAGATAGATGGCGTAACACAACGTTCGGCAGTGATGTTACTATACTGGAAAGGATAACAGTCTTTGATTTCAATTATTTAATTCAAAGAACTAAAATTCCGTAATATGCAAATATTGATACTAGGAAAGATGTTGCTATATGTATGTTATTGACTGGTAAAGAAACGGTTTGTATCCGTTTGCTTATATGAATGCAGCGAACGTATTTTCTAACTAAAATATGTATTCTACATTAATTACAGGATATGGCGCCCGACACACATTCACGATCCTGTCATTTATTGGATATTTCCATCTATATGCCCTTCGTTTTAACCTCAGCGTTGCCATAGTTGCCATGGCAAACTACACAGATACCAAATCCGACCAAAATTACACAGAAAGCGGTGTGTGCCCAGGACCGGCTCTAAACAGCTCAAAAACAACAACCAATCAGGTACATTGTTTTATATATGCTAAGCCAATCAGGGTGTTTGGTTCAAAAGGAAGGGTGTGATTAATAATTGAAATGACCCAAATATCATTGAAAAGTGTTAAGCCTGACTACCGTTTAGTTTTGCTATATATTTTTTAAATGAATCACCATTTCGTGATTTTATGATATTTTGAAATAAAAAACAAAACAAATGACGTAATAAATTAAGGACAGGTATTAACTGGATTAGTTCGATATGGCTCAAATATAACGAATGTCATTTAAATACGCAGATATCTAAAATTAAGTAGTCCGCCTGACAAGTTTTATATCTATATACGTATTTATGCAGCTACGTTGCCACTCAAATACGTATTTATGTATATGTTTATTGTGTTAATATTAAGATTTTGCAAAAACAGGTTAATTAAGCTTCTTTATTAAACATTTTGCACAAACATTTTGTTTTTTATCGCATGGTTGAAAGTTCCATTCTTTATCATTTATGTATAACTTATCTAATATTATAATATCAGTCACTTGAGCTGTACAAGTATTTGAGTAGTTGAGATATAGACAGTCCTCAGTCCAAACATTTAGACAGGCATAAGGAGTATTCAAGACATTTGTTGTTATTCGAAAAATGAAGTATGCTTTTATGTTCCTTTGAATGAATTTAAAGTTCTGCTACATTTGTTATTAAAACACAACGGAAATATTTCATTAAAACATACAAGTTTCTGTAATTTGCAGAGTCTAAACAAAAACCACAATTTGAACTTACAATCAATGACATAAAAAACAACAAAACACTACCGCAGTGTCACCAGAAACCATACTTCAAACTTTAAATTGTTAAAACTAACGTCACTGTACCCAAATCGGTACACTTTTTAGATAAATATTAATGTTCTTTATACCATACTATCAGTTCCAAAAATGTTTTCTCCACAAGTGTCCCGTTTTGGGTACTGTCCCGCTTTAGGTACAGTGACGGCAGGGAAAAATACATTCAAGGAAAAATATTTTCATAGCGACCCTTGATGATTTACAAGGAAATTAAGACCAGATCATTAGCTCCTTGAGGGTAAGCGTCAAATAATATCACGCTACAACACAACAACAAGACACTCTAATGGACATAATTCAAAATATTGACCCTAATATTACACATAGAAATGATATGTTTCCTTACACGATCCTGAAAGCAGATTACAATAAAGTCAAACTTGACAGGAAGACCCTTGATTATTTATATGTTTATAATAAAACCAGGTTTGGAAAGGGGTAGCGTTTTCTGATTTATCGATGACGCCGGCATCTGTGTAAATATCTAGGTCAAATTTTACAAATGCCACATGCTTAAAGTGATAACTGGTAGTGGACACGAATCAACAAGGCACACTTATGGATTGAACGGGATCAAAACTTCGACATTGATATTGCATGAGTAAATCGCATATTTCAAGATAAGATCGTGATGGCAACCATAACTCTTACCTGTAATCTTCATCAACTTGCAAGCTTGTCTCTCAGTAGTCTGAGATAATGCTATTAGGACGGAGCATTTGTAAACCGAACTAATGCGAATATCTTAGCACACATATATAGTATGTTCTCATTTGTCCAGGCTGTAAAATTTGACTGGGATGAGCGTACACAGGGACTTATTCTCAGCTCATTTTTCTACGGCTACGTTGCCACACAAATACCGGGAGGATACTTGGCTACAAAGTTTGGAGGGAAGCGAATTTTTGGATACGGCGTGTTGATCACTGCCATTCTGACCCTGGTAACTCCTGTTGTTGCAAGAGTTGGGACTTGGGCACTGATTCTTATTAGAATTATTGAAGGATTGGCAGAGGTAGGTGTTACAGTTAAGGTCACAATAATGTGACTTGAAGTCGGCGTGTGTACAATTATAGATGGTCAAGTATCATTCCAAACTAGATATAGATTACATTTGTATTTGCAGAAGTAATTTGACCATTAAGAGAAGCACAAAACAATGAAATGCCGTATGTTGATAATGTACATAAACAAAAATGTATTATATTTATGGATTCCATGTCCTGGCTTACCTATTACAAGTATTATTAAAACCCAACATATTAGTATTTGTACTCAAGGGTATTTGTTACACAGTCTTATTGAAATAGTCTATATTAGTAATATCAAAATATATTAATTTATATACAATTGGAAAGCTATGTTTAATTTTATACTAAAGGGAATGACCTTTCCAGCTATTTCGGAAATGCAAGGAAAATGGACTCCAGAGATGGAACGAACTACTTTACCTATGATTGCAAGTTCTGGTAAAATCTCCAGAAATTGTTTATTTAGAAAAAAAATGCTGTTATGCTTAAATTGGAGATACAGGTAGAGGTACGCAGATAGATGCTAATTATCAGCATTAGTAATGAATAATAACTCGTTATATGTGAATGTAACATTTAGAGGATATATAATAGTTTCTTCACTAATACCAAATATATTTCATGAGGTTGGCTAATATTTTGATACTTTCACGAGTGCGCATATTTGGTATGTTTGGTCAATACACTTGGTATTACTAGTACTATTATGAGTTAAGTTCATTTTAACATATCATCACTGGCCATGGCGTTGTAATGTCTTTAATAACGTAACTAGCAGAATGTAAATATCGCACTGGTAAATTTAAATACAATCTTGTCAGTTGATGCTTGGGTATAACTTAATATGTCATGCATGACTTCAACACGAATTACATTGCATTTAAAAGTCATCATCAATTAGTATTTTTACGTATATGTTATATGCTAACGATACAGTTTTGATTTGCTCATGTTGATACGACACAGGTGCTGCTTTTGGTAATGTTATTGTTCTACCTGTCGCTGGGTACTTGTGCGACACTGACTTCCTTGGTGGATGGCCCTCCGTTTTCTATATATTTGGTATTGACATACTGTAAAAATGGAATTTCTCGTGTGTCGAAATGTTCGAAATGTGACTTTTTAACCTGGTACTGGCGCGACAAAATTCCAACAAAAAAATGGCTCAGAGTTCTATGTATTCCGTTTATTTAAATCTAGGTTATGCACAAGAAAATTATTGCGTATAGATATATTTTCGCAAACTTACTCAATGTAAACAAACGAGAGTATTTCGACACTGTGAAAGTTTCAACTTTATCTGCATTTGTAAACGATTGCTATTTCTTTTTATGATCAAACAATTAATATCATTTTACATGCAAATATGTTTCGGTATTTGTTTCCGAATACAACCAATTTCACAAATCCAAACAAAACATATACATTTTATAGGATAAAAACATACAATGCATGTTTTCCTTCGTGATTTATCATGTACATTCTTCAAAATTGGTAAATATTTTCTAGAAAACTCTTATACGAATTTTAGAAATCTATTTCTATAACAAAAAATGTAATGGTTCTATTTAAGACGGCAAGCTAAAGGGACATTTATCTTTATTTCATTTTCCTTCTTATCTTTTAACGTAGGGGGATCAGCGATAATTTGGTTCTTATTTTGGCACTGTCTAATATTCGAAACACCGTCTGACCACACCCGGATCTCAGCGGTGGAGAGATTGTACATAGAAAGTACTGCATCGGTAAAGAGAGCAACGGTAAGATAACGATCAATCTGCATACACTTTAATTATGTCAACAAATGTATATGTCTGAACAATGATAAAAGTAACATAAAACATAACAATGGAAGCAATAGTTAAAAATATGTTATAAAGAAATGAAAATCTATGTAGCATGTTCATTCACTTTCTCTTTAAAAACCTTATCATGAGTTTGCTTGACATGGACAGTTAAAAAAACAATCTGATCCTATTCATTGTTTGCTTTTCAAATTGTTATATTTTATGTAATTGATTTATAAAAACAATCAACCGATTTATTGGGTGTAACATACTAATATACACAATATTCCCGATGACATGCTTTTGTAGAGTTTAGACGACTTTTTCTTCATAGTAATTACATAACAAAATGATTATATTTTAGATTGGGTAATCCAATCTATGTCATCTCCCTCATCACCTTGTCCCATTTGCATTAAATGCTAAATGCATTATAACTCCCATTGTGATTTATTGAGAAAAACAGCACGCAATGAATGTATTGCTTTTTTGGGTGTTTTCTTTTATGTGATAAAGCAAGTTCATTGAATGTTGAATTGTTTTTAACATTTTATTTGTAGGCTTGTCAAACTCCATGGAAAGCAATTTTGACATCAACTGCTATGTGGGCTATAATTGTGACGAACTTCATGCAGGCCTGGGGAAGCTACATCACAAATACGACACTGCCTACTTACATGAATAAAATACAAAAGTTTGATATTACTAAAGTAAGTAGTCATTATTATAACATAATTAAAAAAGATTCGTTTCAAGGAAATCCGGAATTAAATATTTTGAAATATCTGCCTTACGAAGCAGATTTAACTTTTGTTTAATATTTAATTATTGATTAATAGAGCATCGTCTGAATTTTATGAAATTCAACGGGCTTAAGGAATATATTTTAACGTTCTTCTGACAAAATGGTGACACGGTAGTAAGAATGCCTGCATTTTCTTTAAGGTTATTCAAGAATTGCTTTTCAAAATGAAGAAACCAAAGCTTTTCTTTTCTTCATTACTGACAATTTTACTGAAACCACAAACCATTGTCCTTTCCATGTACTGCTCTGCTCATTCCTATTTCATATAATATTGATGTCTTACTAATCTTCGTTTAAACTCTTTGGCGCAGTTTTTTCACATCTTCATCAGCTAGCCAGCCGTTAATGCCTTTTTTTCAAAATGTTCATGCTCAATTTTCAAGGATGGATTATTGATGGCCCTACCTATGCTGATGTCTATGTTTACCAACATATTAGGGAGCTTGTTGGCGGATTTCCTGCGAAGAAAGCGGTACCTCTCGACAGTCACTGTGCGTAAACTGTTCAACACTTTAGGTACGTACGTACACATATCCAGCACACACGCAGGTATATACACACATAGGGCGATATTAGCAAGGTGGCATAGGACTAGTAGTTGGCCCCTGATAAGGCAGCTCCTGCGAATTGCTCAAAATTGGATTGATTAATGTATATGCTTATGGTATTTATTGTATAAATTGTATATTTATGTACTGTAAAGCGCTTTAGAGTGAATTAGTCTAGCTTTATAGGGCGCCTTATCAAACGTTGCATAGTTATTTATTTATTTGTAGGAGTAAAACGTCATTACTATGTTTTACAAGATGCATATATTATAGTCGTTGTATTACTGTTTTGTACTTCCAGGTAGAGCATCATGACTCGATGAATATTTATTTGTTATCTTGTTTTACATTTACTATTTACTACTTACATACATAGTTACATGATCTGACATAATCCAAGCAAGTGTCACAATGAAGTCTTTATTTCGCCCTAAAATACATGAGGAATTTCTTCCATTTTTATGAAAAGTTTACTCATGAAATAATACTTATTTACAACAACTTACAATGGTACATGTATATAAGCATCATATTCAGCACACTCTCTCACCTGAAATACTAAATAGTTTAACCCGACGTATCTCTCTTGCGACGACGGCTAAAAATACACACACAAAAAAACAATACAAACATTTTCATAAATGATTACTTCTTAACAGTTAGACATTTTATTTAAAAAAGAACACGAGTAGGATAGTTAACAAGTATTTGAATGAAAGTTCCTAGTCAATCGCAACAGGAGAAAATATATTATTGTCAATATTATTCGCCTTCTATGATGATCTGCAGCGATATACAGCTGGTGTATCCTGCCCTGAACCGTCAGTGGCTTAGATTATAAGTCTTTCATATAATCTATTGTTTTTTATCTGGATTTCAGGTCTGGTGCCTGCTGCACTTTGTTTACCATTTATATATATGGCCGGATGTGAACATGTTTATGTTGTCGCTCTCATCGTCGTTGGAAACGGAATGTTAGGATTTCTTGGGGCGGGGGTTACTGTAAACCTTTTTGACATTGGATATAATTATTCAGGTTGGTTATACTCTAGTCTGTTGAAGTTTAATTTTATCACCAATGTGACAAGGAGAGATGATTAATGGCTTATCCAAGCATTATTTATATAATACATACTAATGTTATATAATGGCACATTTTGAGATTTTGATATTTGTAGAATATATGTACAGTAAAAGCATTTGCTATATGTGAACTTCGGTAAATTGAACAGATCCTGTATTTAGTTTCCCTTCTAATGCCGTTAAAACAAGTCATTCGATTACTTGTGGCAACGTAGGTCCGAGGACAAAAGCAATGACGTCACTGTGTCATCAAAAATAACGTCTCAATTTGTTTTTTCGATAATAATGCAGTCATTTCCTGCTGATTCTCAATATATTTCTTTATTTTTTTAGTACTAAGAATAAATAAGTAAAAGATAATTATGAAATATTCTCAAGATCAATTTTATTGAGTAGTACTTTTATTTAGATTTACGGTTCTGATTTCCATTCATTAAAGTTTCCACTTTACCGTTACTTACAATGTGATTAATTCGTCGAAAATTTTCAATTATATCTTACTTCCACTTGTGAACGTTTCAATTGTTTCGATACTAGCTTGTGGCTTGTGTTTGTTTACAGGTATATTGATGGGTTTAGCCAACTTTTCTTCAAATCTTCCTGGAGTTATGTCCCCTTATTTTGTTGGACTACTTACTAATAACAACGTAAGCGAATACGGACAGTTTTATCAATTATCATACTCACTTACAAAATCTAAATGATTTTTTTTTTTATTTGACATTTATTTAAAAATGGAGGGTGTTTCATGTTCAAATAATCAATTTAACTTTTAATATTAATGTATTTATCATATTTCTATTTGTGTTAGTTGCTGTATATTTGTTGAACATATTTAGTATGCTACAATTTATTATGCGTCAATTTCATCGCTGAATTATTGGTGATACTGTCCTTCATTAAAATACACATTCAGTATGGTAAGACATTTTGATATTATATTTAGTTTGCTCTAATACAATTTGAATATTTTGTATTCAGCATATATTTTTGAGATGCAACTAGTTATGACAAAAATACACTGTCTACCTTTAGCGCTTTCGTGTGTTCGACAATTTATACTGTTTAATCAAGCACACAACATTGCTTCAAATCAAACAATAAAAAGTCTTAGTTAAACAATTATTTATATATTTTAAAAAGCATTGGCATTTCATTGTGGTTGCATGTCAAATATATACTTCTTCCCACATATGACAGATATATGGGTGACGAATCTGCTACAAATTTCTTGTTATCAATTATTTTCATTGGTTAATTGAAACCACTAAAAAATGTCTTCGTCAAACTTGATTGTTTTATAAATGAGAACATTTATGATTCAAAAACATTTCACTCACGAATACATTCTTAATCAAATTGTCGACGGATATTTTTTAAAGAAAGAAATGGTTTCAATGTTTATTTCTTTACAACAGGAAACAATGAGTCGGTGGCAGACGATATTCTACGTGTCCATGGGTGCTTATATAATTGGGACCATCGTATTCTTGTTATTTGCGAAAGGTAAAGAAGAGTCCTGGAACGTGCAACCGGAAGAAACAACGGAACCTTACATCACAATTCAGGAATCTGCTGTGACAGACAATAATTTACCTAGAATAAAATATGCCGACACATACGGCTTTTAAATTTTTAAATTTCGACTCAGGAACCTTAGCAGAATGTTTCGTGGAATACATTACCTTTCTTTACAATAAGAATTATTTATCATTGACCTAGCGTGATATTGACGCAATGCAGTACAATCGGCTCCGGGTGAATGCAAACCCAAACCGTCGGCAAATTCTGGAAAAAAGTGAACAAATACAGAAAACCCCAACCAATTCAAGAAAAGGGAGCCAACACAGATCACGCGCAAAACGAACGCAACCTGAAATTCAGGAGCGGTTTAAATGGAAGATCTGATGTTAAAATAGCGACAGGGGACAGAAGAAAAAAACCCGATGAGGAATTGTCTCGAACTACAGAGTTTGGAATGGAATTGTGTAGTAGGACGCAAAAATAGCTCAGTGAGACAGCCAGTGATGCGTTTTTTAAGTGGTAAATCAGTTTTACTTATTCTGTAGAAACATGTAATGATTGAAGAAGCAAACTATTTATTTCCTGAGAGTGACTCTCGAACAGCAATGTCGATAGAAACGTGAACAGAGTGAGAAACTGGATGATCATTATTTTGTTTTGCATGTTTTAAAATGTTTTCTATGATCTGTTTGTTTTTGTCTTGATTTCTGTTTTGTTATAAAAGATTTAAGTATTTAATTTATTATTGATTGGTTAGTTTTGTTCTGGCCAAGTTCGTGGTCCTTTGTTTGATATATTGGTATTTAGCTTGACCATCAGAGCAATATAGCAGGCCTCGAATCAAACCACATGTCTATACAGCGATAACAACTCAATAATATTTTAATATTATCGAACACTCTTCTTTCATGGAATTGTGGAAGAAATATTTAGACATATCAAGTGAATAAAACTAGATTAAATAGCAAATAAATTGATTCATTAAGCCAACAAACTTAGTTATAGCAATTATATAGCATTAGTCCTATCTAGCATTTCACATTTTCATAAAAAAGACAGAGAAATATGTGTAGCAATGATATAGCATAAGTCCTATTTAGCATATAATATTTTGCATATAAAGGAAAGATGATTTTGTCCAACAATAATAAAGCATTAGTCCTATCTAGCATGTGACATTCCGCACATAAAGGAAAGAGAATTTTGTGTAGCAATATTAAAGCATTGCATATAAAGAAAAGATAATTTTGTGTAGCAACATTACAGCATTAGTCCTATCTAGCATATAACATTTCGCACATAAAGGAAAGATAATTAGTCATTACTGGTAGTCGGGGAAATACGACGTCCGTCCAACAGAAAGGATTGTTATAACATATGAAAAACAGTTTGTTTCAAATAATTGTGAGCCGACAGAAATCACACACAAAGATGAAATTGAATTTCTTTTGTCCTTGAAAGTAAATATCAAGGCTAACGTGGTACCATGATTCTTGGAATATTTTTAACATGAATCATACAGGTGAAACATATCAATCTTATCTTCAATCAAATAGAAGATATTTTTTGGTTGAAAACGATAATTTAATCTTTAATATTGCAAAAGGAGAGGAACAGTTATCCTTACTCAAACTGGGGAATAGAAAATCGCCTTTGTCAGATATTCGGTTAGGATATTAACATGGAATGGGCCATATCCCGACCCTATCCATATCTGCGAGGTTCCAACCCGCACTAGCCTCGCTGTTTTTGTTACTCAGAACATTGTTGTTGGCTATATTTTTTTCGATGTTATTTTTATTCCATTTCCTATGCGAAATAACAGCTTTTGGCAGTGATAAGGGGATCCTTAACACGCTTTATAGGACGGTACCTTTAACTAGTATATAATATGTTTATACCATGTTTCTCCCAATAGCCTATCAAATAATAAATTTGCTGAACATGGCGTTACGATTTCCATTGTTGTATTGCCCGTGTTTTTCTGGTGATTCAAGTTGTGTATTACACTGCCAAAGAATAAAAAAAAATGAATAAATTACCAAAAATCATAGTATAATATTGAATTTAGTTTCACTCGGACATTTTACTAAGAAAAACCAAGATCAATACTGGTATCTTACTTTGTTTTATGCAACATGACATGGTTCAGACCACATGCGTCTGGAATGGTGACACCTCCCTGAACAAAATCACGATCCGCCTCTGATGTGGTAACATTGGTTCAAAGACTTCGTAAATTCAAATTGATCAAGTTAGGGCAAATATCGCTGCAGTTTCATTTTCGCCATTGTTTGCCTTCAGTCATGTAGGCGAACTTATCATTGCATCGCATATTTGTTAACAACATAATAGAAATTTAATGTAAAATGCGAATTCGATATTGGAGAAAAATTATTTTTGTGTCGAAGGGCGAAAATTTTACAAGGTGAAAATGTCCCGGTATAAAGAATTAACACCTTGAAGAAGGACGCTGAGACGATAGATGACCCAGAACAAGAAGGCCGTAAACCATCTTTAAAATTCTGCGATAACAGTCCTTCACGAACTAGACATGAACATCGTCTCAGCTAACCAGCGAATACATGTCTTTGACTACCCAGTGAGGCAGAAGGTAGTGTGTCGAGACATCTTTTCAGCTTTAATCAATATCGTGTTATGTTTATTTTCGCACCGGAAATGCATAAACCGCATTCTTATTCAAACACACTGTACCTGGTTTTTCAGAAAAATAACCTTTTTTCAAAGTCCACTGGTGCAGTTTAATTTGTCAACAGTTACACTGCAATTTAATCTTCATAATAAAGAACAATCACAATAGACTTTAATTATATAGAGAACGGTTAATCCCAAATCGGGTATTAGGACATTAAGACGACCACAGTTTTCGTTCAGTTTCAGTCAGTAAATTTAACAACGTCAGGGGATAGTAGAGGCTACAAAAGCACTATTGGACACATAATGTCGTCCAAAACAAAACATTTGAAATACAATACACGTACTTGTATATTTACATTAGTTACTTTGCGTCGATGTTATGGATGCAGTATTTCATGTATATCTATAGTATCTGACCCTGCTTTGGCAATCATACGTGTCACCGGTAGGTAGGTAGCAAGGATTATTCTCAGCACTGTCAATAACCTATTAAAGCTACTTGTCCAGAGAGGTTGCTGGAAATATCGAACATATTTCATTTATCGGCTCATCTAAGTACTGTATATACTTTATAATGAGGCTTTTTCATTGCATTGTTATCTTACTGCGATTGTTCTGCACAAGAAATTTAAAGCAAATTAGGAGCATCCTTTGGCAAAAGGGACTCAATTTTATGTAAAAAGAGGGTTGCTTTTACGGGTCAAAAAGAAGGGACCTAATAAGAGACGGAGCCAATATTACGAATTAGTATTTTTTATGTAATAAGAAAAATTTCCCATGGTTGGTTTATTATCCAGGTGAGTTATACTGCCCTCTAGGCCTCTTGTTTTAATAATTATTATTGAAAGATATCCTGATTATAAACAATCTGATATTGAGAAGTTTGTTATCGATAAGAAAGTTGATGGATACTCAAACAGGATCACGTATTGCACAACTCATTATGAATAGATTATTCATAAAAAAATAAAAACATCACCAATGTAGGAGTTTAAATATCATTATATATCCACAGAGTAGGAAATCGATTTTTGTACTTGAGGTAACTTCAAGCAGAAATTAATTAACCTAGATGGAGTTTGGCACGGCTGTGAAATAAACTTGTGCCTAGGAGCTAACATCTCCTGACCAAGAAACAGCCACAGTATCTTACCTGTAGGTGTGTACTGTGTACTAATTTACCTGTATACCTGCTGGACAGATGAAGGAAAGGGCATGATTCCTTACCCTTACACAAGGTGAATAAGATTAGGTACAGCTATCAAAATCCCAGCTGAATAGTCAAAGCATATTTTCTCGGGTAGATAATAAATTAAAAAGAAATTAAGTCGGTAGGTGGTCACATTGCCCTAGCAACCGTATACTGAAAATTAAATACTGAAACATATTTATTTTATTGTTTATAATGGTGTACAAGAATAAGATGTTAAATTGCATTGGTTAATTAATCATAATTTATTTCATTTGTATACCATTGTACCCACTGGTGTTTTTACCTTTCCGTGGAATTTGTGTTTGGGCGGGGGAGGGGTATATTTGTATAAAAAGAAATCAAAGTGTAAGTTATGTTTTTCTTTCTTTTCTAATTTTTCCTAAAAGCAGGTTACTTTTTTAGACATTATAAAAAGGTGTCTGTAAAAAAATCAAGTAAATAAAGTAATTTTTGCACAGTGATGTATCTATTTTAGTACACTATATATGTTCCTATGATGGAACGTATGAAGTATATGTACATGTACTAATAATTTCACAGGTTATCACTCTTCATCTTTATAATACATTAAAGCATACATGAACGTTTTTCAATTTCATTTAATCATCACTTTAGATATATGAATTTGTAATTCTTTTTTGAGCGGCTAGGCAGAAAGAAATTCATATAATTATTGTAAACTAAACAAACTTATATTATTTTACATTATTAGAAGGCACACATACTACAGTTCACCCAAATGGGTACTGGATGCTTGAAAAATCAACATTGAATGAACATTCATAAATTTAATGTTTAATTCTGTTATCGGACCCAAAAGTCTCGAGTTGGGAAAAATGCCCAAGCACCCTGCCGAAATACCATTTTCCTACACCATTGCTCTATTTTGCATTTGCACCAAAACATTTATATATTATATCTATATATTTATGCTAAGTGGAGGCAGATGAAAACACCTGGCCCCAGCCTGATTGATTGATAGGTTTTACGTCCGCTTCACTACCGACACGGAATTAGATTAGATTTATTTGGATTGCAGATCATAAGGATGTTAACGTTTGATGCGTGTAGTGTTTGAATACAACGTTATCCGTCATATGTAATTTCCTTAGACGTGGATACCTGGTCATGTTGGAGAAAGTGGAAATAAGAAGATAGATAAGGCTACTAAGGCAGCTATAAAACCACAACCAAAACATATAAAACTGCCTCATTATGATTTTGAATTTTCCATAGCGAATATTGCTAAAGCGAAATGGCAACATAACTGATTTGAAGTAATAAACAATAAGTTATTTGCGATTCAACCAAACGTAGGTTCTTATGCAACAAGTAGAACGGTTTGCAGAGATCAAGCTGTCCTTTCGCGACTGCGCATAGGCTATACCTACATCACACATAATTACAGTTTACGCAAGGAAACCAACCTAACTGTCACGCATGCGACCAACCGCTTACGGTCAAACATATTTTGATTGAATGCGCTGATTTCAAACAAATCTGTGACAGATTCTACCATGTAACGTCTATCAAAACGTCATTTGATACAATTTCTGTGCAATTGATTTGTCATTATTTGCACTCAATCAATATTTACATAAAGATTTTATATATTTTAAAACCAATTTGTTCGCTATTGATGTATGTTTTTACTTTTTTACACTTATCATTGTTTGTGTTATAGCATAATGTTTGTGAATGTCTATCTTTACTATGGTGTTGGCACTGAATGATTCGCATTGTAGACGGGCCAAGATTCAATACAAACCAAAAAACAAAACAGAC